TATATATATATATATATATATATATATATATATATATATATATATATATATATATATATATATATATATATATATATATATATATACAGGGTGTTCCATCTAAACCAGGCCACCTCGTCCTCCTTATCTTAAATATCTCCTTCAATTTTCTTTTGCTTTGAGTAACTCATCGCGAACGATAGATCGATAAACTGATAAACATAAGGAAGGTTTTACCAATTTCGGTACTATAGCACTATAACTACTGTGCTTGAACTCATATTAGCCTTTTTTCCCTATCATTAAATTTTACAGGAGACATTCTCGACTCAGATATACTTGATTCACATTTTATATGACACGATCCATATTCTATGAAATCATATCGCACCATTTTACGGATCTAATAATATGTGAGGATTTACGTTATCATTTTAATAACCAGTAATTATATACAGTAGTATTTTCTCGGGTATTAAGAAACACGATACTTCATCCGCCCCTTCATTCACACGTGCTGTCGATATTTATGATCCCTCTTTATATCCGATATACACGCGCGGGATATATTGTACGAAAAATAATGCTTAATTTAATCCTGCACGTTGTATCACGTGTGTTTCGCGGTGCGCGTGCGCGTGCACCGGAGATACCTCGTATCAATTAATCTAGTAACTTCGTATTATTATTTATCACGACTCCTCTCGCCAGCTTCAACAATAGCCGCGATATCGCGGAGGTGCTTCGCGACGCCGTTATTACGGAGATGCATCTCGTTTTCATCGAATATTAACGAAGACGTACCTTCACACCTGCGCTCTTCGACGCCTCGAGCGAATCATGCGAGGAGACCTCGGAGATATCACTTTCGCGGCGAATACGTAGCTATTTATCACGGGGACCGGCCGACACGGGTCGCCTGTATCCGCAGATTCCGCAAAGATCCCCGCTGACACGATGTTCGCGATATTACGTCTTATTATGACACCGAATGCGTGTTATACGTGCCGCGCTTATCTTTCGGCACAATTTATCGCGTTTCCTCACGCGTTCGCCCCGGCACGCTCGACGACGGCGACTTCTCGACGATCGAGGTCCCCTCTCGCTGTCCCCTCAATACCGCCTCTTATCGTTATCGTACACTATCAATCGGCAAACGCCTTACGCCGTTTTATCGCAGGGCGAGCCTCTTCGGCGCGCCTTCGCCTCGCGAATTCCGTTTTTGCGAGCGCTCGTCTCGCCACGGCGTTCTTCAGCCCTGACCAGAACGTTCCTGAGGAAGGTCCGCGGGTTTCGCGGCACGAGACGAGGCAAAACACCGAAAATAAATTCTAGCTACCTGCGAAATGCGGCGCAGAAGAATGGAACGCGGTCGCAATGGCGTTCAGAGCCGCGAAATTGCAGTTGCCGCGCGCGGAAAACGCGCCAGGCAAATAGAGGAGGGCCGCGCGCGCGATCGATTGCCGGAGAGATTCCGCTTTAATCTTCCAGTGGCAAGGCGGCGAAATCTCACGGAATCCCGCGAAGAATACGCCCCGCCGCCGCTCGCGAGAAAAATAGTGCGGTTACGGAACGATTAAATTGAACGGTTAAGTGCAACGCGCGCGCTCGCCGGTGGCGGGTCTAACCCACTTTTTTAAGAACTCGAGGAAATTAAACTAGATTTACCTCTCTCTCTCTCTCTCTCTCTCTCTCTCTCTCTCTCTCCCAGCAGCCCCTCTTCTGTCTCCCTCGCTTTAGTTACTTTGAAATTAACTTCCTCAAATTCTTACGAGAGCGGGTTGTGAATCACTGTCGCGCCGAGTCCTTACAGTTGGTAAATACCCGGGAAAAATGATTGCACACAAGGTGTTGCATTAACATATAGATGAGTATGACGGGTGAAACGATTTATGAACATCGTTCCATATTTCCTCTAACGACAGAAGTGAACGTAAAGCGTTTTTCAAACGAGTATACCGCCAAGTGCGAATCTGTCGGTAATGATTTTCAGCTTTGACAGTTTGGTGAGAACTTTCAACTTCATTGTGTCTAAATCACTTTGTAACACACGCTGTACATTCAGAAAATCGTATTCTCGACAGTGAATTTTATTCGGACCACAATATACTTTTTATCCGGAGCATCTTTTAAGACTATTTTATGAAGATTATTTTTTGCTAGAAATATAGCGAGTATTTTAATAACGGAATATTTCGCAGTGCGAGCTGAGTCATACTGATTAATATGTCGTTACGCGACACCCTGTAAAATTATATATGAATTTTGTCCCTACACTGAGGGAAAAATTACCTTAAAATCAACAAATATTTCTTTGATGGGTGCCATTAACATATTTACTTAAATCTAAATTCTCTTTATTTAAATCAAATATTGTTTACCTAATTTAAGTAAACAATATTTGGTTTAAATAAAGAGAATTTAGATTTAAATAAAGATGTTAATGGTACTCATCAACGAAATATTTGTTGATTTGAAAATAATTTTTCCCTCAGTGTATACGCGGGGAGAATTCTGTAGTAAAAATTACTGCAAGACTTTGTAACCGAGAAATGAATGGACATTTTACAAATCACTATCCTTTCATTTCATGTGTGCTACATATATTTTAGGAACTGCAAAATATTCTGTTATTAAAACGCAAATCGTTATCCTTTCATTTCATGTGTGCTACATATATTTTAGGAACTGCAAAATTTTCTGTTATTAAAATGCTCGTTATATTTGTAGCGAAAAATAATTTTCATAAAATAGTCTTAAAAGATGCTCCTGATAAAAAATATATTGTGATCCGAATAAAATTCACTGTCGAGAAGTGCGATTTTCTGAATGTACAACGTGTGTTGCAAAATGATTTAGACACAATCAAGTTGGAAGCTCTCACCAAACTGTTAAAATTGAGAATCGTTACCGACAGGTTTGCGCAATAACAATATAATCAATAACACGATTAAGAACACTAAAAACTAAATAGTAATAATTATTATTAGTAATAATTTAGTAGTAATTATTATTATTAGTAATAATACTAATAATAATTAATAATATAATTACTGAGCGAGCCCGTCAGTAATCATTCAATTTGATAGTTGGGTAAACTCCCGATACTTCACAGTGCCTAAACCGTTTAATAAACCGCTGTACATAATTACGTTTGCACGTGTGCTTCAGCTGCAGAATTTAATAAATCTTATAATTATGATAAAATGAACATGAAAGCGCTAAAGCTTGTATTTTACGATGACACAAATCGACGAAAAATGGAGAATATAAAATTTGCTTTTTTTTCTCGTAATGAGCTTTACATAACTTCAAGCATCAACGATTCTGCACACATTAAGAAATAACGTTTTGCTACTTTAATAAAATATCAGAAACTGCAACAAATAGTTTAATGACATGGGACAGTAAATGACTCCGTAGTGGGAACAAATGATTCGTTATTTTCAATTTGCTGCTCCAAGCAACACTTCTGCAATTGAAATATAATTAACGTAATTAACCTAACCTAATCTAAACAGATGAGAAGAAATATGATTTGTGTCTTAGGCAATGTATATTTGTGAAATGACGAATTATAAGAAATGATAAGAAATGACTCGCTACAGTAACTGTTCGATTTGTTTTTCTAATGCTCATCAAATAGCAAAAGTGTTTTTGCCTTTATTACCGATTTTCTCATAATATCTGTAATGATCGCCGTATTGGTTTCTTCAGCGGGAGGATCACTGTTTCACTGTTTGAGATGAAGAATATAGCTTTACTTAATTGATAATTTCAACGGAATCATTGCTTTGCTAGTATAACAAATTTCAGAAAGACCCAAAGTAAATGTATATAATTATGTATAATATATAAAGCCTTAAAGTTAATTGAATGAAACTATTCGCTCCTTTCTTCATTTAAAAGCATTTTTTCTGTGTGTGTATATATATATATATATATATATATATATATATATATATATAGATAAAATCTTATATATGCATTACATATAATGACATAATATATAATTATATAATATAATTACATAAATTATATAACATAATATATAATTTATATGTACTTAAAAACACACAATTTTTTACAT